TGACAGAGGGGATGAAGAAGGGAGTGTATTTTGGAAACTGTATGAAACATGTTGCCCACATCAAATGCTCTTCTTTCTTCCTCTTCAGTTTTGCAGAAAGATATTAACATTTAATGTAAAACAGCCTGCTTTGATAGCTGCCTGAGTGCCCCATTAAACATTTTCCACACCTCAGGGGAGACAAATATCCGGTTGTAAATTCCAATTTGTCATGGATTTTCTAAGTCACAGGTTGACAGAAGAAGCAGTTATCACTCTCTGATCAGTATGCAGAGACCATTAGCAATACTCTTCAATGGACACAGCAAGAGTTACAGAGTAGATTTAAAAAGCAAAGCTCTTTGGTTTTGAACATAAGGCTCCTAGAAAAATGTTAGCAGAGATTATTTCACCAACACAGCACTGAGTCAGTAACAAAATGTAATTCCCTGCTGGATGAGTGCCATTATTTGTTGTGATTGTAGTTATCACTATTCATCTTCTATTTACATACCATGTAAATGTATACCATACTTTGTAACAGCACACCGAAAACAAAGCCCCTGCTTAGAGGAGTTTTAACACTTCTGCTCCAGTGACAAATTTAGTTCTATCAAATATTTAACAGTGGCAGCAACATGTGCATCCTAGAATTATTTGGAGCAAACATTTACATGTGCAATCCACAACTCCAGCCAGAGCTGGTGACCACTGAAGGACAGTAACTGCAGAGAAAAAAATCACCCTCCCATCCTCCAAGTCCAAGACAATAATGCAGAAAAAGTAACTAGCCAAACAAGATCTCACCGTTAAGATTGCAAATTTACAATCTCTGGTCTTCAACCTCCATCTCTGGTGATGGAAATGAGGAAGAGGAAGAAAGAGGAGACTAGAATGATCACAGGTTTGCAAAGGTTATGCACACAAAACAACTTTCTGCAGGCTGGGCTCTAACACCTTTGTAACTTCCCTCCTTTTAAACCAACTAAGAAAGAGGTTTGGCTGTGATACTGCATTCCTAACTTAAGCACCTGCACGGAATCTAAATTCTAGGTGGCCTGTGAAACTGTCCTCCCAAAGTAAATGCCTAATTTCCTCTGTATTGCCAAAGGGGAGAGGTGTCCTTAAAGGCCTCCAGAGAGAGGCCCTGTTAACTTCTCTTAGCTAAGCAACCTTCCCTCTTTGCCTGTCAAGACCGTGACTGCTCTTACAGGTGGACCTGCAAACTCCATCACAGGGCAACACAAGTCTGCAATTCTCCAGCCTGTTTCATTCCTCGACATATGCTGCCAATTCAAGCTCAACAGCTTCTTTCAATTTACTCAAAGAATCAGGTCTTTTCCCTTTCCAGCATCTGACTCTAGAAAGCAATATCTTTTGAGAGACTCTCCAAAACATCCAGAATTTCTAAACAAAAGCTGTCTTCTTTCTGCGAAAACAAGCTGCATCTCTCTTCAGCTTTTTACTTCAGGTTGCATCATCCTTTGCTGTTCTATCGTCTGGTAAGTGTTGCCAGCTATGAGCCACTGAGTCATTGATTCAGCAGTGGCCGTAAGAGAATGGGTCATCTGAGTCCACACCACTGTGCAGGCAGGAGGAAGGCGGCCTAGTCTGCGCACCAGCTGTCAAGCAGTCAGCATAGCAGGAGAACAGTATTTTCCCCCAGATTATATTACTGACATGATCAGCCTGCATAGGCTGTTCCAGAGGACCTCACAGTGGACACTGCTTGCATGCTGTTGACCCTCCTGATGAGCTGGCCTGAGTAGCAGTAGGCTCTGCCTACTCCTGCTTTTTCTCTGTCCTGTAGATCTTGTCTTGCACCGTTAATTGCTGCTTGTATCTAACAGAGGCTGGGTACTTCAGCAGCCAGGAAAAAAGCACATGGAGGATATATGACAGAACACACAGGATCTGACTTGAATCTTTACTTGGTCACTAGACATGATATAACATGAGATAGAGGGCTTTTCTCTGCTACTGTGAAGCAAGAGTCCCTGTCTCAAGTTGCTGACTGTTATAATTCGCTGTCATTTGCTGTAGTCTGTTTCAATGCTGCAGTCCATGTTTGAGGTGGCTCTCTTGCAGCTGCGTGGGAGGCTGGCAGGAAAAGGAGCCCACCGCGGCGCAAAAGACCACCCTGGCACTTGGATACACCCTGTCTTGCAGAAGGCCTCTTTGAGAGCTACGAAGTACTGACCAGCAAGAGCAGAGCCACTGCTCCTGGCAGCCCTAGGGGAGCACGTGACTGCAGCTATGTTCATTAACCTGCCCTACCTACAGAAGCATCTCTATCGAGGACAGCATTTGCATCAAAGTCTGCCTCTACAGCACCACAAGGAAGTGACAGAGCGGGGTGGGGGGAGAGAGAGAGTCTGGCTTGGTCAAAAGGTGGTAAAACTGATTAAGAGATAGCATAAAACAGGTGTGGGGAGAAAAACTATCATTTAATACTTCCTTATGTGACATTTATACTTCAACATTTTTCCAGAAACAAAGAGACTAAGGAAACAAAGTAAAAGCCAGGTCCAATCGCTTGTGTTTCTCCTGGCATGACACCTTTCTGAGAAAATAGCTTTTCTGAACTCATGCCCAGCAACTTTCATGACCTTGATACAAATCTCTCAATCTTGGTTCCCTGTCACTTGAGTTAGTGAGAACCTTAGTTTTATTTCCAAAAATAGTTAAGTTTCTACTCCCATCTCGCCCACTGGGGCTGGAGGATGTTAAAAAATGTGACTTGGTGAAGTTCAAAAAAGGCTAACAAAGAAGATAAAGTGGGCACATTAAAAACATATAACTAAATTATTTTAACCTCCTGTTTTGTTTTTATTTTTTAATTGTGGGAAGAAGCTTTTCCTAGGGACTGTTGGAAGGTGGAAATAGGTGAGCTGCTACCGGGGACGAGGCTTCTGCAGTGGGCTATAAGGACACGTTGTTTAGCTCTGCTCCCAGTTGGAAAGTTGTGCCTGAATAGGTGATAGAGCTCCCAAGCTTCCATGTTCACCACCCCACAGGGATTAAGCTGACATGCGCCTTTGATGCAAATGCAAAGGCAAACTACTCCCAAATTAATCTGTGTCACTCAACAGTAATCTAAACTCCGCCGTAAAAAGGAACAATTCTGACTTTTAGTCTGGAACAGCACAAGCATTACAAAGGGCAATGCACTTAGCTGGGACTCCCAAAAGAGCACAAATGATATTAACACCAAAGGTACACCTCTTCTCATAGTTGTGTCTACTTTTATTTGGCAGCAGAGAGGGAGACGGAAAATTGCAGGGGGTAGAAATATGGTGGAATTAATATCCCAGTACTGGAATTCATTAATATTTTGAACAGCTTCTGCAACAGGTACTTCTTTCTTTTCAACCTAGGAGGCACGAGAGCTTAGTTCTAACCTGATTTTGTCTGGTAAACCACATCCTGATGCCATATAAGAAATGGTGTGTAGATCAGGTTTTGCACTTCATATTCGGCAAACAGTTTGTGTTTGGAAACTGTGTTTCAGTTACTGTGTTTGGTAAAGGTTTGTCCTCATTAGCAGTATTTTACTTTACTGCAAGAATAGTCCCTTACTAGCCCTCCTGCTACCCATCTCCCTCAGCGCCAGAAGTGTTCAGAGTTAAGGACGACTACGGGCAAGCACGGTGCTAGGCACAGCCTTAGTTTAGTGATGCCAACATGTGTGATTTGGCTAGGTTATCTTCAGTTTAGTTTATAGAAATAAGGCCATTTTAATTGTGTTCCCATGCAAGCATATCTGCTGGTGGGGGAATATCCCAGGGTGAGATTTCTTGTGAGATATGAGTTTGTAAAATAACAAGCTGAGTCTGCTGATGTTGAAAACGCAGCCTATTCTGAGGTCTTTTTAGCATTTTTTTTTTTTTCACATTGCAATAGGAGAGTTGCTCTCTGCCTCAATGCTTACGTCACCCTGCAGAACCCCTCCCAGACAGACTGAGGAATCAGAGTGTAAGCTTCTTGGCACGTGTTTCATTTCTGTTAGACTTAGAAGCATCAGAAACAGAACTAAAACCTGCTCTCTCAGAAAATATATTCTTCTCTCAGTCCCCAGAAAACTTTAGCCCTAGCTACTATGAGATGACTACCTGGCACTGAGAGAAAAGCAAAACAAGAATTCCGTAAAGCTGGATTCTGAGTACATAAATCTTGGTGCAAAACTCATTTCAGTCTGATTTACGGATACCAAGGCTATGCTCTAAATGTATAGCCCAGATAATTTAAAAAAAATAAAATTCTGAAGGAAATAAACGACGTAACGCTCCATCCATGAGCATTGGGAAATAGCAAACTCACAGGGAATGATGACACTTGAGACAATAAATAAAAAGCATTCACTTAAAAGTAAATGTTCAGTGGAAAGACTGCCTCATTCTTTAGAAAAGCAATTAGCTTAGGCTAATTCGCATCTCATGAAACCTCACAGACCTAACTCAAATGCAGAAGCCTTCAGCCTCTATCCTTCCTTCATTCAGTGAAGATTTAATAGCAGATTACTTGAGTGAGGTCTCATATTGCTATAACCAAATTAATGCCTGAAGCTATACACTGGTGTAACTGACTGCTCACACTGGGAATTGTTCACATAAAGGCTTGTGAATCAAACACTGCTTGTGATGCTTACATTCACTTTGCCATGCACTGTCCTTCTTTTAAAGCATAAAACACTAACAAGCCCGGAGCATATGTGTAGACCTATAAAAAACGTTGCTCACTCATAAATCAGTGATTTACTGCGGGACTCCACCGATCAGAGCGGATCTGAAGGCACAAGACTGTAGGAACTCCTGCAGTTCTGAGTAAGGAGATGGCAGACACCAGCTCCAGGGGCAACTGAAGTTTCTTCGCACTTGGAGTGGAAACAAAAACCCTCCACAACAGACCTGCTCGCTGCCCTGCTTCCATACCTCCGCTCGCCCGAGTCCTTGTGCCTGGTAGGGCCCCACCGCCGGCTGCCACCACGGTGCTCCCTGTCCCCAGCACCCACCCGTCCCGCCTCACCTGCTGTACACCAGGCACTCCATGTGGTTGATCTCCTTGTCGGAGCGGTAGCGGCTGTAATCCTCCCACAGGTCCTTGATGGCAGTGACCGCCAAGATGAAGAGCACGGGGGCCAAGGCCAGCTCCGGCTGGAAGGCGCTGACGGCCGGCAAGAAGTTGAGGAGCGCGATGAACACAAAGTAGACGTTGGCCAGGCGGTGGAACTGCTCAAAGAGGTTCTTGGGCAGGAAGGAGAGCACCGTGTACTTGGTGGTCTTGAGGCGGTTGCTGGCCAGGACCGTCCTCTTGGACTTCTCTGCCTCAGCCTCAGGTAACAGCAAGCTGGAACGCACCAGCCGCGTCTTACTCTCCTTCTTCCTCCGCCTCCTCTTCCTCTGCCTCTCCTTCCCCTCCGGCAGCACCTGGGGCGCTCCCTCTCCTCCTGCCGTGCCCCGGGACATCGCTGCCGCCCTCCCCGCCGCGCTCGCCCGGGCAGCGCGGGCAGCTCCCACCACCAGGCACGGCCCTAAGTTATCATCCTCCGCCGCCCGCCACGGCTCTCCTTTCCTCTTCCCTCCGGGGGGGGAGGAGGGCTCTCTCAAACCCCCTCCTAGCCGCTCTGCCGGGACCTCGCTCGCTTTCTCCTCCTCCTCCTCGGCCTGGGAGGGGACGTGGGCAGGCGGCGAGCCGAGCCCTCCTCCCGCGGGCCTCGCCCCGTCCCGCTGGCGGCCCGGGCTCCGGGCCGGCCCA